GTGCGGGTTGACTGTAGTGGTCCACGATGTGCTCCTCGGTTGCGGTTGCGGGAATGGCGGAAATCGCCAGCGGGCAACCCAACATGTGCTGCCGAATGGACGGAGAGTGCCGCTGGACGGTTTTCCCTGGGGCCGTATGCGACCCGAGGAGGAGGAGGAGGAGGAGGAGGAGGAGGAGGAGGAGGACGAGGAGGAGGAGGAGGAGGACGAGGAGGAGAGAGGAGGAGAGAGGAGGGCGGGTCGCCCAAGCCCTTCGGAGAAACCCTCCAGATGCCGCTGCGGACGCGGGCGCCCCGTGAAGGGGTGCGCCCGCGGGCGGCCCGGAATGCAGCGCCCGATTGCAACTGCGGGTGCGGTGCCCAGGCGCGGTGCCCCGGTGCACGCGGGCGGCGGGCGGCGGCAAGTGTGCGCTGGCGTCGGGAAGTCCATTGCGTGCACCGGGCACGGTGCCGCGGCACCGAGCACCGCCCCCGTAGTGCAGGGCAGGCACGTGACACGTTTTTTTGGTTGCAGGGAACACGTGTCTGGGCCTCAGACACGTGTTCCTCGCGAAGTGTGCGCTGGCGTCGGGAGGTCCATTGCACCGAGCTCCGCGGGGAGCGGCAAGAACTTCCTGCTTGTCACTGCGCCAGCCCTGCAGACGTGCTGCAGCGGATTATTGCATGGAATTCTTCCAGCGCCAAGCCCCGGAACGGCCAGCGAAAAATGAAGTGAATTTCGCGTGGATGTTTTGTAGTCTTCATTCCTGGCCAAAAAAACGAACGAAACTCACATCGAAATCCAGAGCGAACTTCTCCATGACAATCCTGGCCGATCCCAGAGTTTTCCGAACGAAATCCGCTCTGCGAAGTTGTCGCCATGATACTTGGGAGATGGCGGATCATGGATATCATTTTCGAAAATTCCCTCGTGTAATGGCTGGCGGAATGGCGTAAGACTCTTCGATAATCTGCCGTGCACTGTCTCAACGCTTCGTACCGATCGGACCCGACCACGATGGGGGCAACAAATCGAGCCGTACCAACCACCTCGTCGCATGCCTTCGCGGCGTGCTTGTGGAAAATCTCCAGCGCGCCCTCGTAGCCAGGACTTGAGACCAAATACTTGACCATCTCATCGCTGTTCAAACACATATCGACTAGCATTCTGGCTAGAACCTTGCATACCACCTTCTGCCGCTTCAGAAACAAACCCTGGATATTCAGGCGTCCCCCGCAGAGCAAATGCGGATATGTCGGTTTGAAAATCATTTTGATAGCTAACCAATTCGTAAAATTTCCGATGACTAGGCCAGACACTGGAAGCAACACCCAAGGCATCCATCGGACTTTTTCCGTTACGAAGTACAGTGCCATCTGGCCAAGGCCCAAAAACAAGCCCATCTGGGCGCCTGTGCGCTGAATGAATGCAAATTCTTTGCTGCCGACCTTCTGGAAGAGACCGATCAACAACCGAGGCTCGTTCGTGTAGCGTGTGACAGCCATATCCTTGATGTCCAAGATTGATTTGATGTTGCGGCGGACGTCAGACATTATCGGATGGAAAGAGTCCTTGGAACACTCCATGACCTTGTCCAACAATTCGTCCTTGACACTTTGGGGTATCCGTGTCCATAATGATGGAAAAAATTGGGCTCCCAAGCGATCGTTCACCTTCCGCTGGCATTCGATTAATACTGACTCGAAGGTCGCAAAAAAATCGTCCATGTAGATGCGGTCCACGACCTCCTCCATCGTGATAATCCGCCCAAGCATAAGTTCGCACGTTGTCTCTGCCATTTTGCCAGCTTTTCTGGGAACGACGCCTTGCCAACCAAGGCCGTAACCAGAGTTTTTGTAATTCCAGCACCCCCAGAATTTGACTGGATAAAACATCATCTGGACTGCAAGCCAGATATGGCCCCACGTAAACAACACGCTCACGATAGGAATAGACTCCAGCTTGAGCAGCCTGTTGAAATGATGCGGGCACTGCGTTTTGGCAACGACCAGCGATATGCCGCATCCGATGCAACACAACACATAAAACAGCCAGAAGCACTTCTCCTTCAGAAAAGCCTGGCATGCTGATGGCTCGGAGTCCTCAGGGTCTGGCGCCGCTGCGGGCGGCTCTGCTGGAGAGGTCTGCCCGAGTGCCAAGCCTTCCGGCACCACGGAGGCACGATGTGAGGCCAACGGTGCCTGAAGCTCACGTGCGCCTGCGCCCGTGCGCATAGTTGCGGCCCGATGTGCAGAGGCCTATCCAGAATCTTCGCCGGTGCAAGGCCTACAGTCGGGGCCTTGCCCTAAGGAACCCTAAATAAGGAACGAGGCCCCTTTTTTCCATAAGTTAAACTTCGATTTCCGATCGAAAACATAAGGAAAACCTGAGGCAAGCTGCGAAACACTTAAGGAACGCGGAGCCCCTCCCCAACGAAAAGGGTTCCTTCTTCAGGGACCCGACTGTACAGCAGAACGAAGACAGCTGGGCCAAGCTGGGGCAAACATTTTGGGCCAAGACTGGACAGAGCCGAAGGCAACGAACACGAGGCACCAACAAACGACCATCATCACCGCGGAAACCATTCGGCAAAGAAGCAGCGACAAAAAAACTACTGCACCTCTTGACCTTCTTCTCAAACTGCACCTCGTACCCACATAAACCAGGATTGAGTAATGACCGTCACCAGCATGAAACTGGCGCGACTCAACTTAGAGGCAGTTCGCTTGTTGATGGCGTGCGCGTAGAATTCACTACAATGATTTGCAATGCGAGACATGCATTGGTTCAACAACGAATCCGTAAATGAAGTCGGTAGCACATCAGAACTGCGTAGCATGGAGTCGCACCCTATAATACTAAAACCATCGTGCGCGCTTCGCGCGCGCTCAAGTTCTAGCTAGGCTTGATAGGCTAACTCATGTCATCTTATGTTGGTCGCTTCTTGCGTCCAGGGACTCCCTTGGAGGCCCTGCGCAAGCCTCGGAATCGTATAGAAGGGGAAACGCGGAAACGCAGAAATCATTAATTTCCTTTAGATCTTCAACGATTTGGGGCCCTCAAAAGCTTCCTGGGTTCTTTTTCGGGAGGTGAGGGGGGTCTGAGTTGTGGTCTGTCGTGCAAGAGTAGACCGGGGGCCAAACTTGGAAAAACACAGAAATTGTGGGATGTCCATGTTTTTCCAGTTCCTCGGCGCTGTTCGGCGCTGTTTTTTGCTTGTGCCTCGCGGGTTTTGTTAGCCGGGCCCCTCAGGCCTGGGGTGTGGGATCTTCCGGACCCCCTGGGGGCTCTGGAGGCCTCCTGGAGACCTGGAGAGCCGTCGGAAGGGTGTCGCGGGCTGCGCGGGAGCGTGTTGGGCCGCTCTTTACGTTCTGGGGGCTCCTTAGGGTCGTCATGGGCTGTCCTTCGGCGACTTGGGGCCTCCCCCTGGGAAGCTGGGAGGCGCGCCACCGGCCAGATGTCAGGGGATGTGTAGGACCCCCGAGTAGAAGTCCCACTTTGAAAAAAAGGGGGGATTCTGGGAATTCCGTATTTTTTCCAAAATCCTCGATCTTCGAGGGTTGGAAGCGGGAAAACGTGAGAAGGCGAAAACATTAGAAAAACCATGGGACATCAACGATGTTACCCTCTTTGGGCACTCTGGGGACGGCTCTCGCAGCTCTCTTGGGCTGTTCTTGGAGCCTCGTCGGGGTCTTTCTGGGGCCTCCCAGGGATCGGGTGTTTTTTTTTCGCGAGGGCGCCGATGGTGCTGCCGGCGCAACGCACTGGTGCTGTGGTACTGCCCGCGCGCGCTATGATCAGGGGGGGCGCTCAGCACAGCCTGATAAGAGCGTGACCGATTGGCCAAAAGTACGGGCCGCGGGGAGAAGGAAATTCTATACATACACATGTACACATGTATATGTATATGTTTGTTTGTATATGGTCGTATCATCATCCTCATCATCATCACTGTGATCCTCCTTACCATCGCAACCCTGGTCCCCATAGGATCGTCGCAAACATCTTGGGCACATCTTTTTTTCCCCCCCTTCGCAGCGCAAGCAAAGCTGTACACAGTTTTGACTCCACACGCTGGCGATGGTTGTTGTTGTTGGTCTATGTGTCCTTCAATGCTGATGCAACACTAGGGTACCGCCGACTAAGCAGTCGAATCCTGGCGTGGAAAGACTGCGCAACAGTGCCAGCACCCCCTACCGGGATCGGGGGTGTGTTGGGGGCCTCTGGGTGGTCCCGGAGGCCTTTCGGAGGTCTCTGAAGCCTCCTGCTCCCGCTCTTGGCCCCATCTTGGGCGCCTTCTTGGCCCGTCTTGGGGCCGTCCTGAGGGTCTCTTGGGTGGTCTTGGGGCGGTCTTGGGAGCCTCGTCGGCGCCCCTTGGACCGTTGGAAGCTCGAAAACGCGAGAAGCCAAAAACATTGAAACAAACAAATGAATGAAAATCTACGATTTTGGCCTCTTCGGGCCGTCCCGGGACGCCTTTTGGACCTCTCTTGGGGTCTCTTGGAGGTTACCTGGGAGCCTCGAGAGCCGTCGGAAGGCTGACTTGGGCTGCTTGGGAGCGTTTCTCCTCCTCATCCCTCTTCTCCTCCTCCTCCTCCTCCATCATCATCCTCCTTCTCGTGGTCCTCCTCCTTCTCCTCTCTCCTCTTCCTCCTCCTCCTCCTCTTCCTCTTCCTCCTCCTCCTCCCTCCTCCTCCCTCCTCCTCCTCCCTCCTCTCTCCTCCTCCTCTCCTCCTCCTCCTCTCCTCCTCCTCCTTCTCCTCCCCTTCCTCCTCCCCCTGCTTGCCTCCTCCTCCATCCTCGTCCTGATCCTCCTCCTCCTCCTCCTCCTCCTCCTCCTCCTCCCTCCTTCTCCTCGCCTTCCCCCTCTCCCCGCGACCATTCCTCTCAACCGCTCCAATCCGCCCGGCTTTTCCATGGGCGGCAACATGCCGGCACCGATGCCATCCAGACCTCTGCTGGGGCGCGCCTTGACCAAGACCCCGAGACGAACCCAGCCGTGTCGACGAGGACCTGCCCTTGGGATGCCCGAGGAGGCGATGGCGAGGGAACGGCATCGGTATCAGAACAGCCGATACATGGCCACACAAGCGCAAATCGAGAGCATGGTCCATTCTGCCAAAAGCCCAAGGCCTCATAGAGATGCCCTGAGCGAAGGAGGTTCCAAGATGGAGGGCTCACGCAGGAAGCACACACGAGGCTGCCCGTCCTCAACTCGGATAAGGCAAGTTAGTGTCGTGACTACGGCGGGGTCAACTTCCGACACTACGCAGACAATTCAAGTTAGAACGATCACGGCTTCCCGAATGTGCAGATCACTCGATGTCAACCGATTCCGGGCCACTGGCGGCGTTCATCTTTGAACACCCGCGCCGGGGTCGCCGTCGCGTCGACGAGACAGTGAAGGCCTCCCTAATGGAGTCCGAGTAGTCGGCGTGGAGACATTCGGGCTCCATATCGACCCGCATCGGAGATACGTCGGAGATGCGGAGCGATCCTGACATCCCGCAGTTCTCAACTCCAGTGCCAGGCGTCTGCTCTTCTCCGCCGATCACCCCTGGCCTTCTCTTGCGCCAACAAGACTCCAGCGCGCTCCCCCCCAGAATCTCCTTGCCTGTCATTGCAGGCCCTGGGCTGGGGAGCCCATGAGAGTTACCTCTTTTTTTCCCCCCCCCTGCAAAGGCCCCGACCACACAGACTGCACACCACTACAGCATGGCTGCGCCACAGCGCGAGACGCAGAAGCGAATGGCGGACGCCCACTCGCACGCGTCCGCGTGCAGAGCGTTCGAACGCGGCTTGACTCGAAGCGGCAAGAGAAATTCACGGAGCAGCTGGACAGCTGGAGGGCCTGCCCAACGGCCGCGAGACGGCACGCCCCCGCGAGGCCGCACGCTCTCCCGCCGGAGCTCCCCCCCTCCTCCGCCTCTTCGGGAGGCCGGCTGCCGCCAAGAGGCCCGCGCCTGGCGCCCGGCCGCGCTGGAGCCTCGGCGGCTGCCGCCGCGCGTGCGTGCCGCGCTCCGCCGCGCCGCTCCAGCCCTCCCCCCCCGCTGTGCACGGCACGAGGGGGGGGGGGGGGCGGGCCGCGGGCTCGCGGCCGCCGCGAGCCGCCTCGCCCCAGCTTGTCGGCTGCATGCGCGTCCTCGGTCTCGCGGTCTCTGGGAGAGGCCATACAGGCGGACCCGATGGGCCAGGCCGCCACGCGAGAGGGCGCAGGACCCCTCCGAGGGCCACACTGCCACGGGAATGCGGGAAGCATGGGTCGCGAGACACAGGACACAAGGGTACCCTCGACTTGGCAGGGTCGACCTACTAATCTGGGCCGACTGTAGCAAGGGCTCCCGACTCCGCGCTCTCGCGCTGCGCGAGGCGCGAAGAACACCGCGCTCTCGCGCCGCCTCCCAGGGGAGAAGAGGAGGACGAGGAGGAATCGGAGCCGAACCGCGAAGCGCGCAGAGCTTCGCGCCCTCGAGGGCGCCCTTGTACCCAGACCCCCGACGTCATGAATTGTTCATGACGTCGACCCCCCCGCAGTCTGGACCCATTCCCCGGGACCGGGTTTTCGTCCTGAGTCGTTTTTTGACGGTCCCGAGGGCTGGTAAGGGCCCCCAGAGGCCAAAAACAACGAAAAACCTCCCGTCGTGTTTTTTTCATGACGCGAGGGGGTCTTGGTATAGGGAGGAGGGGGCCCCGAGGCGGCGGCGAGCCTGGCGGACGTCCGCGCTCCGGTGCGCCAGCTGGCCGCAGATGGGCGGAAGGAGGTCGGCGGGGGCGGCGGGCCTCTGGCCTCCCGAAGGGAGGGGGGGGGGGGCGCGGCGCACAGAGGAGGAGGAGGAGGAGGGAGGAGGAGGAGGAGGGGGGTAGGAGGGAGGAGGAGGAGGAGGAGGAGGAGAGAGGAGGAGGAGGAGGAAGGAGGAGGAGGAGGAGGGGGGAGGAGGAGGAGGAGGAGGTGAGAGGAGCAGGAGGAGGAGGAGGAGGGCTTGACGACCCCTGCGGTCCCTGGGCTCGCGCAGTGGAGCGTCCAAGACGTGCTACAGACTTCCCTGGAGACCAGGGCTCGGGCTGCACGGTGCTCTTCGTCCAGGTTTTGCCTGCGTGCTCCTTCGTTCTGCCTCGGCTCTGCCTTTGCTGCGAGACGGGACCAAAATGGAAGCGGCCCGCAAAATCGCCAAAACACCGTCTAGCTCGAGCCCAGTGGAGACCCCTGGGATGACCTCGACCTGTCTGGATGCACCTCGACCTGTCCAGTCTTGCCTGAACCTACCTGGGTCGATGGGTGAGAAGTCGTCAACGAAAAACGTGGACTCCTTATCCTGCCCCCCCTCCTCCTCCTCCCCCTCCCTCCCTCCTCCTCCGCCTCCTGCACCTGCTCCTCCTCCCCCTCTCCTCCTCTTCCTCCTCCTCTTCTCTTCTCTCCTCCTCTCCTCTCCTGCTCCTTCTCCTCCTCCTCCTCCTCCTCCTCCTCCTCCTCCTCCTCCTCCTCTCTCTACCTTGTTTCTTTATAGCCGCCACTTGCCATTT